GAAATGTTAGGCGCCATCACGATCCTGAAGGTAAAAATTTCGGGTTGTGATATCATTATGGCTTATTAATAATATTTATTTTATGCGATTTTCTCATCTTTATTGTTGAATATTTTAGTACAATGCCATGAATCATCTCATATTTATATTATTTTATTAAAAAATACCTTATATAGTTCTGCCTTACTAGGATTAAAGAAATATTTGGAGCACAAATTTTATGTTTTGTGCTATGAAGACTTTATGGAAAAAAATTCGAAACAACCCGAAAACCTGAAAACTCGAAAAAAATCGAGATTTAAAAATCCGACTTTTATTGGTTTGGTTTTGTCTTTAGATTTAATAACCCGATATAATTAGTTTGTTTGGTAATTATAAAATGCGAACCAATCCGACCTATGTACACCCTATCTAAGAGAATAGTTTAGTAGCCATATTTAAATTGCTAAATGCTATGGATAGGATCCATCATCAATTTTTCACATATGCATCTATAATACGTAACATCATATCTAAAATCAGGTTAACTAATTATCATATCATATTATCATCTCATCTCATACTATATTGTAATTGTAAAGGCCGAAAGTGAAAATTTAAAAACCAAAGTGTCCATCGTAAGTTAAACAACTTTTATATCCTTATAAAACTAATTTAGTACACAATGTATGTAAATTACAAGGTTAGTCATGGAATTTTTAATTGCATTTGTAGATACATGTATCTACGGTAATCACACTATACAAAGTTAATGTTTAAATTAATACATGTATCACCCTATTATTCCATCAAAAACGGGTGCATTAACCAAACTTTTCTTCTTTCCTCTCATGAAGCTAGCAATCAAGGAAATGAATAATTTTTCACTGCGTTAACTTATCATTCTTTCATCATCTTTCAATGTCATCATTTCATTTTTTTTTCCTTTCTCAAAGAAAGTTTAACATGTTTATGCATATATAACATGCATTTTATTTGAAATAAAAAAAAGAGAGAGAGGATAAAATGAAGTAAATTAAAAGAATTAAATGATCTAATGAATTGTTTTTAAATCGTCTTTTAGAAGTTTCCAAGTCCCTTTATGTTGATTTCTTTTCTTCAAGTTTTTGGTTAGATTTTCTGTTATTTTATTTGCTTAGCCTTGAAAAGAATCTTTGGGTTTTGTTTAATTTTGTGGGGTTATGTGGTACTTTGTGCTCTTGATGCATGTTTCTCCAAGTTCCAATCTTTTTTGTTAAATTTTATGTTCTTAATTTTGTTTCGGCTTAAATGTGATAATATGCATAAACAGGTTTCGTTTGCTTATTTGCATTTCATTATTATCTAACTAAAGAGATAATATCTTATTAGACTAGCATAACATGATTTTTAAGTAATTTGGTGATGTTTTCATTTGGCTAGAAACTTGCAAGTCAACTAAGAAGGCATGTGAGATAAAAAAAACTAAGAAGGTGACATTCATGCCTTTTTATTTTATTTTATTTTATATTTTATTGGGTTAGCTAAATAACATTAATATTCATCACTTGACATACTTAATTTAAGTTTTATTTTAAACTCAAATACACTTTTAAACAATATTTGTGATTTTTAAAAAGTTTGTACTCACTGATATAAATACACACGCTTAGCCATATATTAGTTATTTCTAATTGAGACAATTGAAAACACTAATTAATGCACATTATTTCTTGATCCAGATGTCTAATTCTAACTATTTGAATGCATTTTTAAATTTTGGGAGGTTGGAGAGAGAAAGAGACTTGAAAAAATATATTGCATTATTGGGGGTTTGGAATGATAGCCTGGCAAGACTTGAACATAAAACAAGCTGATAAATAGTAACGAAACAATAAAAAACAATTATATCCCATGGTTGAGAGGCCTATAAATTCAAGCCTTTGGAAAGGTATGAAAGACTCAAACAAAAACTTCAAGTAGGCCTGAAGTACTAAAGTCTTACTATGGCGATGTTTAAACTCGGTTTGGTTCTCACTATTCTTCTCGTGGCAACTACATGTTAGTATTCCGTTTATCTTTATCTCTAGTTTGTTCTGTTGTCGTTGACCCCTTGTGTATATGATCTATAACAATAAAAAAAAATAAAAAAAAGTAGTCCGGTGCAGAAAGCATCCCGTATCTATGCAGGGTCTCGGGAAGGGCCGCACCTTAAAAGATGTGATGTAGATAACCTACCCTAATACAACTACTAGTGATTGTTTCAACGGCTCGAACCCCTGACCTATAGGTCACACGGAGACAACTTTACCGTTGTTCCAAAACTCTCCTTGTAAATGATATACAATATACATATATTTGATATGTATGCATGAATATGTATGCGTTCCTATGTCTTGCGATTGATTGTTTTGCTTTTCATGTTATACTTGTCATCATTTAATTTTGATAATATATGTTGGTAAAATATTTCAGTCAATATGGTGTGGTTTTCAAACACACATGTGGATGCTGCACGAAATGCTGATATGGATATCTCAGGACTCGAGAGGAGACTACTGCCACAACTTAATTCCTGGATTACCTGTAACAACAAATGTATCGTAAATAGTGATTGTCATGGTTGCTGGTTTTGCTGCACATGTACAACTTGGAAGTTATGTGGGTATATTGCTTGAAAGTAGTATATTACTGATTAATTGCATGCAACAAACTCTGCAAAATCCTTCATATTTATCTGCGTTTCCGTGTGGTTTTACTGTTTTTATTTTGTTTTGTTTCATGCTTTGTATAATAATGAAGTCAAGTGAAGGGCTTTCTCTGTTGTAAGGAATAATAATGTATTACAGCTTGTTGGATAGTTGTTACGTGTTGGTATTGTATTGTTACTTTAAATATAATGATTGTCTTGATTGTTACTTAAATTTATATTGTATCGTATCGAAATGAATCATGAAAAATGCAATTTTATGGAACGACCGATTTGGTGCGGTCGCATCATTACCTTTTTTTTTCCTTATCTTACCCTTCCTTATTATTAAATTATTATATTTTATCCTTTACCCTATCTTTTTATATAATAATTCTACCTCGTACCTTATTTTATATATTGTAAAATTTATTTTTCATATTGTTGGTGCGTGACATCATAAAACGACGGCAAACAATACAATCTTTTCAAACATTATTATATACATCAAAATGATACATTATAATATAATATTATACTATACATTATGGAACGATACATATCAACCATCCAAGTTGTTAGCTGTGANTCATATTGTTGGTGCGTGACATCATAAAACGACGGCAAACAATACAATCTTTTCAAACATTATTATATACATCAAAATGATACATTATAATAAAATACAATACAATATAATATTATACTATACATTATGGAACGATACATATCAACCATCCAAGTTGTTAGCTGTGAAAGTTGATTGGGTTAGCCTTTTATCCTTTTTATGACTGATCAGATATTTGCCGGATTATTTAATGAAATTTCAAAAGTCACTGAAGATCGTGTAATGAAGCCAAAAGTTCCTAAAATTACGTCTAATATTTTATTTAATTTGAAGTAGTAACAATAACAACAATAAATACTCTAACAACAATAACAACGACAAATAAATAATATAGAAAAATAAGTTAAAGACTAAAAGCTGAAAATTTAAAAGAGAAACTTGTGGTTTAAGTTAAAGACTAAATTTTAAGTTGGTTTATGTTGAGATAAATAGAGAAACTTGTGCACTATTTTATAATTTACTCTCTAAATAAGCGATAAAGAGGTCATTAACTTCCACTACTGGTGGAAAAATATATTAAAAAATAGTTATCCATTCATATTATGCATTAAAAAATGGGTTGTATATAATGAACTTTTAAAAATGAATAACCAATGGATAATCAATGAGTTTAAGTTCTACATTTGCAAAGACATGGTATGTTCCTTAATTTTGGGTGACTAGAAATTCTCCTAAAAGTGATCATATTCAAAAAAAAGCCATGGATAATATGGATATCCATATTATATGTCAGTTAACCCTTTTTTATCTGTATTAGATATGGGTTAGGTCGGATATTTTATTGAGGATTTTTCAGAAACCACTATTGTTTAGTAGCTATTAACTTCCTATAACTACCATATACATAATTACTTCCTATAGCTATTATTCAGTTGTTACGGTGGTGTATTCGTTGTATTCGCGCTACTGTATTCATGAATACAACAGCAAAAAATGCCTAAAAATCAAGACAGTCCAGTTGTACGCGCATGTATTCACATGTATTCGCGTCATGTATTCATGAATACAACAGCAAAAAATGCCTAAAAATCAAGACAGTCCAGTTGTACGCGCATGTATTCACATGTATTCGCGCCATGTATTTATGAATACAGTAGCAAAAAACGCCTAAAATCAGGGCGGTGCAGTAGTACGCGCATGTATTCACATGTATTCGCGTCATGTATTCATGAATACAGTAACGACAATCACCTTAAAAATATGTATGTCCAGCTGTCTAATAATGGAAATAATATCAATTAGCGTGATACACTCCTAATATAACTCAACAAAATCAATTCTAACATGCCTCATTATCAACCCAATTAATTAGAATGATTTTTTCAGTTGTATATAACTTTTGTATTTAGTGTGTTTCAATATTATTTTCTTACGGTTGTATTCATTAGATTCAATATTTGTATTTATTATTGCTATAAGAGGTAAAATTTCTTATTTTATCCAATTTTGCATTATCAATTTTCGACCTGTCAATATCTGACCCGCCCGCTCGTTTGCCACCGTAACTCCCGCTAAAGTTTTCTTGACAACAAATGAATTTAAGCTTATTTTTCTTCTTAGAAACACGTTAGCTAATAGAGTAGAACAAGAAAGCATAGAAGCATGTTGAAAACTTAGTATATAAAAGCAAATTGAACATATTTTGTTCAGTAAGCACATCCGAAGATCAAATCCATATATAGCGAAGTGCAAAGATAAGGATTAATTAATTAAAAGAAGATGAACTAAGATAAATAAAATTTCTTTGATTGTGTATATTTAAACGTTGATGTATACATATTTCTTTGAACTAACAATGTTTGTCAAGATGAATAAGAGAGATGTTAGTAATGCATCCCCTTTAGTAACCAGGGAAAATTGGTGGTGGTGGTGATGCGTAAATTGATCCCAAGTTTGGAGGAAGGATAACATCCTCGAAAACAGGTGGAGGGGGAGATGCCAATGGAGCAGGAGGTGGTGATTGAACAGGTTTAGGTGGAGGTGGGGAGTAGACCGGTGGAGGAGGAGAAAAGACTGGAGGTGGTGGTGAGTGAACTGGTGGCGGTGGAGAATGAACTGGAAGAGGTGGGGAATGAACTGGTGGTGGTGGTGGTGAGTGAACTGGAGGAGGTGGCGAATGAACTGGAGGCGGAAGGGATGCCACTGGTGGTGGAGGAGAATGGACTGGTGGTGGTGGGGAGTGAACTGGAGGCGGAGGTGATGCCACTGGTGGTGGAGA